ATAAAGTTTGAAACTGATATTAATATTTAACTTTTAACTCACAGGATCCTTCATGGTCTCAGCTCTGCTTAATTAGCTGACATTTAGCTCCCTGTATTCCACAGCACACACCTAAGATTCCTTAGGTACCCGTTTATTAACATTCCCCAAAGTAGATTGGAGCAGGCAGTTACAAGACTCTTCATCAATTGCTCCTGAAGGCTATGGAATTCATTGCTGAGTGCCATTAGACCAGACAATTCTGTAAATATGTTTAAAGGCATGAAGACGTCCTTGTTTTCAAAAGCTTTTCAATCAGTTTAAATGAGCTTTGTGAATTGTTATTTTAAACACAAAGCCTTCTTGAGATGCTCCTCAAGAAAGTCATTGTATTAACCTAGGTTGTATTATGCACAATTCTGCTGTTAATCAACATTTTTACAGCAATATGTGATCCTACAACACTGCTCAGGCATTTAGGTCCATGAAAGCCATTAAGTGTAGCAACTCCATCTTGTATTTATTGTCTAATCCACTTGCTCTCTCCTTACTGAAAGCCCCCCTGCATCTTTTGTATGATCCCACGATGTTCTGGATTAGACACTTCGGGGTATATATTATTTTTTAAATTTACACTTTGCTCACAATAGAAGAACATACCAAGATAATTTGATCATTTTTCCTCTCATGCCCTTTTCTAACCTCTTGGGAAAAGATTGTCTGCTATTCCCTCCCCTCCTCCCCCAGGTGAAAGCTACAATTCTGAACAGTGCGCACCTTACCTGGCTCAGTGGTGTAATTCAAGTAATCTTACTTGATGTATATCTGGATTTACCTTCAACAGCAGCATATAAATGTAGGAGCAGTTATTAGAGACTAACATAGCTTAAGCTATCTAGCAACTGAATAATCTTAATACTAATTATCTACTTAGCTACCATAACAAAATATGCTGCATAGGAATGTGTATAATGTAATTGCAGAGCATTTCATACAGCTCACTATGTAAGAGCCATTAATAGCATTTAATTAAATTTAGATTTGGATGCCCTAATTTGTGATAAACTTAATGTGCGTTAGGAATACCATACAAGTTAATATTTTGCTCTGAATATTTTGACATAATTACACCTTATGTCAATAAAATACCAAAATACTGCAGACTAATAAGCATTTTCTAAAAGTGTATTTTGATGAAGCTATCATATGTGTAAACAAATGTCAGACCACAGAGAAAAATACGAATAGAAAATATGACTAGTTATTGAACAGCCTTGTTTTTAGGGCTTATCTTAGTAAATAACGTATTGATCTTTCCCATTTGGCACCTTGGTTCAATTCCACTTTCCATTCCTAAGTGAAATGAATGTAGTGGTTTCAGCTCATTCCTAGCAAGCAGTAATCCACATTAAAACTAAAATCTGTCACTGCAAATTGGTTCTTTGCCTGGTAGACTTGACATGGAGAATGAAATAAACCATTCAAAAGTAAATGTATAATTTTAATGGTGTCACCATCACTTTAACAAAAACTTGGGGCCCAGAACCCCAGTTGGGTCAAATGGACATAGATCCATTTGAAGTCAGTAGAACTACCCTCAATTACACTAGCTGAGAAACTGGCCCTGGATTCTTCCAAACAATCTCTATGTTTTTGTTGAACTAATAAGGGGCCAGATTCTTCATGCAGTTATACTGGTCGAACCCACTGACTTCATGACTGTAGGATGGTATAAATAAGGATGGAATAGGGTTTAAAAACGAAATGTATCCTGATTCCATTTCCCCTGAGTTTTGAGTGAATATTCATGTATTGGAAAAGTAAGAACCTATCAGAGCTGTATACCAAAATTTCTATTTATAACAGTGGATTACTTTTTATTAGCTAACTATTAACTAAGCAGCAATATTTCACTTGGCACTCAGATATCATGGTGAGCAGTGTGATATAAATACCTAGATAGTTGGAATCCCAAGTACACCCAGGATGTCTTTTACATAATCTGTTAATTTATAAAAGGTAAAATGCATGCAGTATTTTATTAGGCACAACCCTTCTCACTGAACAATAATTAAGATGCTTTAGAGAGAGCCTCAAAGATTAAGTACATTTCTCAGTACATAGTAATTGCAGTAACAAAACAGTACTAACATGAGATGAAAATTCACACAAAAGTCTTTTCCAAGCTGGTCACAGAAGATATTGGGTGTGATCCACTACTGTGTTACTCCATTTTTACAGTAGAGCAACTGGACTGATTTCAATGGAGTTATGCTGGCGTAAAACTGGAGTGATGTGGTGGTGACTCTGGCCTACATTTTATAACCAACATACTAAAGTATCGATAGGAAAGGCTCCCAATATTGTTTTCACTGTGAAATATAAAAACAGGTGCAAATGTGCAGAAAGATTCTTTATTGAAGGGCCATACACTGGTACTACCTTCTAGATGCAGCAGAAATCACACTGACCTCAGTGGTTGTATGCAAGGATTGAAGACGGCATATGGCCGTCGATGAATAGTAAAACACCCCAGACGGATAGTCAGAATTTCATTCATATCCTGTAAGTACACGGCACTATCACAAAAGATTCTCAGCACTTAGGCAAGAAAGTATAACACAACATCAATGTTTTAAAGGGGCATGGAAAAAAAGTCTGAAAATATTTATTACAAGCAACACCTACGATTAATGTAACTGAGAAAGATTTGAGGAAAATATTTCCTCTATTCCTCTACTCCATGCCCCAATTTGTTTACTTTATTAAAAAAAAAGTGCTGTCAAATACCTAATCAGTTGGTTTGTTTCTCCTATATAATCAGTTTCCTTTGTTTTTTGTATGGGTCTTTCACACAGTAATGGAGAGAAAAATAAATTCTTATTTATTTATTTAAGAGAGAGGAAACTGTGATTGTCAAATCCCCCAAACTGGCAGGGCAGCTAAGAGGTACTATTTGAAACCACTTCTGACTATTTTTTTTAAATAGATGAGATTCCACATGGACTGCGTCTCTTTATTATAACATATGAATACATTTCTTTTTAATAATACACTCGGAACCAAATTCTGCCCTTACCATCCCCTCAAAAAAATCAATAGGATTGCATAGAGTGTAAACATGGGAGGAATTCGACCCTTTCAATTTAATTTTATACTCAAATATGGCTAGACGGCCTTTTCCTACTGTATGAGTCTAAATGAAACTAACTGGAAACTTAACTGTTTATGGTTCATATTCAGAGTGTTTGCTAAGCAAATCAGTTTATCATGTCCTCCACTTGGTAAAAGTTTACCAATTTTGCACTTTTGTTAAATAATGTAATAGAAATGTAGTTTAAAGTTTAATGTAACTTTTTTGCTCTCGATGGAATGTTTATATATACATGCAAGCTTATAGTTCAGCTATATTATTGAAAAATGAGAAATGTTCTTTAACTATGGAAAATGTTTCCCTTTTACATAGTGTTATTGCTTTGCTGTATTCAAACTGTAACTCGTGCTAATCTGTTCTATAACACTGAACTGTCAATAGGAGATGGCAGAAAATATTTCACATTTAAAAAAAAAGTAGAACACTTTTAAAGAACATTAAATCATACAACATACTAATACTTTCTTTTAGTCAGTATGCATGATTTGTTTGCATAATGCTGTATGTCAGTTTATATACCTTAGATGGTAGTCAAATTGCAACTATAGTGACATAAATTTTTAAGAACTCTTTTTAGGTTAAACCAATCTCTTTTTCCTCTGAACATTCTACTGAACCTTCATAATGTTTTGGATGAGCTATCCTGGTAATCTCAAAAACACAACTAAGTTGTTCAGTCTTTCAACATAATATTTTCACAGGATATTTGAGACCTAACCAAATATTCTCATACAGAGTCCTATTGGGAATATTCCACACACTAAACTCCAATTTACAACCATTGGTGTTCTGTGTGTGGAACGACTGCACAATGCGCTCATGTATTTTTAATAATCAAAGACAAATAACTTTAAGCAGAATTTCTCAGAAAGTGAACAAAGATTTTGATAGCTAGATTATTAATATATCCCATAGCTACTGGACTAGACAATTTTATTATAAAATATTGAGAAATATAAATAAATACTTTGTGTTAGTTAGTAAATACCTTGCACTAAAAACAAATGACTAGATGCATTTTACCTGTGTGGAGTATATTAAGGGTACTTTCATCTTTCTCCATTTGAAAAGCTGGTTTAAAATCTGAATGCCATTACAGTAATTATTAATGTTAAATAAGATCACTTTTTAATATCTTTTGATTGCAGACTTTCTGAACACTTACAGCATGCATCAGTAGTGCTTTGCCACCAGATTAAATATTTCAATGTTTGTTCAACTTTTCATTGTACATAAAGTTCTGAAACTTAGGGTTGGACATTTTAAGTGAATGGCTTGTTTTAAAGAAATCATGTGTGTTTCATTAGCTTATATAATTTATAAGGGAAAGAATAAATATTTGGAAAGATTCTCACTTTCATCCATAGAGAGAATATGAAGCTAAAAAGTACTCAAAACTATTTTGTAGTAAAATTTGTTCATGTATATTTGGAAGTACATTAGAATCAACCATTTGTTATAACAAAGGACAAATGCACAAGAACAGTAACAGGTTTACTTAAATTGTATTAGGTATTTGTTTCAGTTAAACAAGAGCCATAATTTTCACACTCAAATAGTACTTTTTTTTTTTACAATCAGACATTGGTTTTGTCAAAATTAACACACCTGGCATGAATATCTTGAGATGTCAATTGTTTTACCTATAGAAATGGTCAATAATTAATTACATGTTAAACCTAAGATCCTTGCCAAAACCATGCAAACTTCAGTTTAAATATTTTAATATGAAAACATAAAAAAATTAAACAAACAGGAACTTACGCACATCTAAAAATATAAATGTAAAAAACAAGATATTACAGGGGCAAAAAAGGCAGAGAATCACTATTTGATTACACAGGAAGATTTTTTTTGTGGTTGTCATCTTACTTCACTCTGTAAAATTCATAGTTTATCGATGCTATAGCTCAGTGTGAGTAGCAGATTCTTCACAAAGACCTGAGGGGAAAAAGAGTTACATATCGTTACTAATGTTTTAAACGGTTACATTTTGTTAAAAGCACATAACTTTTGAATAAATAACAATAAACCAGTGACAAGTGGGTGTCTGAAGTATAATACTGAGGCTTTGATACCAAGCCTGTATTTTTCCTGGATACCGATGATCCATCCCTCTTTAACACAGAGCAACCAGGCCTTTTAAAAAGTACTGTAAAACTACCAGTCTTTGCCCCCTGGTTTCCAGATATGTTAAGTTTAAGTATTTTAGGGGCCAACACGTCTGTTACATGGTATGAATAAGATCCATGCAAACGCATGTGGGGTGGCATCTTTGCAAAATGTTTTAAATGCTATGAAATAATCTGCGTGTTCATTTTAAGTCAACCGTTATCCCATTATGAGCTATGCAATACAGATTCCTTAATTATCACATCACATAAAACATAGATGCATATTTTACTGAAATACATATTTAAACACTTCAAACTCAGGAAACGCCCAAGGTTTCCACAGTGACCTTAATGTAAGCACATTGCATACACGGGTTTCAATCCGTTCTTCAGCTATTTCCACGTACTCGCTGAAATTGACTGAAGTTATGTGTGGATCTCTGAGGGTAGAACTGGGCATATTATGTCCTAAAGTTACATTTAGCAACATTAGTCGTGGTAGAAAATTTCACTATTATGCAATGTGAAGAGTTCGGGTTAATATGAAATTTAATTTGTGTATTGCCTGACTTCTGAGTGTGTTTAATTGTAACCTTAAGGTTACATTAAAATATGGTTTGAATTCATTTTTTTTTAAATAAAAGGAGATTATGGCCCCAATTCTGTAATCAGATCTGCCAGCATGTACCCTTCTATCTCTGTAAAGTCTTACTGAAGTCTGTGCTAACAGACTCCATTGCAGGAAAGGAGCCTAAAACACAAGTCTCTGTATTGACTGTGAATTTCCATTGCTGCATGGTCAAAAACAAACAAAAAAACAGTGAAACTATGGAATTCCACAGTGAAATATCAACACAATACCACATCTATATAACCAATGTATGTGCTTTATTTCATAACCCAGTAAACAGTATCATAACACTTAACCTAGTGGAAATTTAACGTGCCACACATACACAAAACAGGTATTTTCATTGCTTATCACTGTAATATTTTTTAGCTTTGGCAAACTGTCCTGGAGTTTAGTTCTCAGTGAGAACTAGCAACCTAGAAAGTATCAACTTGCAAAACACAACTGTTTGGGTAATACAATTGCAGAAAAAGTCTTTTTAAAGGAGAAAAGGGTTTCCCCACCACCACCCTTGCATAACTCAAAAATGGGTGAATAGAATCTGCTCAAAATTTCATAATTAGTAAATGAATAATTAAAAATCACCTTTGGAATGAGACCAAGAATGGAAAATTTCAGCCAAAAAGAATAATTTTGCAGCGTTAATAGAAGTCTCACTGTTACTTTAATTATAGCTTTCACTGCTAGTGCTTGTATTGTTTTCCGCTGATAAAACAATTGACACTAGACTATACATTAATATAATCCACTGTTGGCTGGTTTCCTATTTCTCATTGGTTTAAATGCACTTTATCATAATTCAGTACAAAATCTGAATTAGAAACCATTGATATGTCAGTGTTCCACAATTATCATTGTTGGGGGCGGGGAGGGAATGAAAAATTTTGGACAACACTTGTTAATTCAGGATACATCAGTCTGACTTTATTTATCAAACACGTTATCCTTTGATTGGTCAAATTAGAAATTTGACCTTCCTGTTTGTAGCTTGGAAAAAAAAAAGGTAATGTGTTTGAGAACTAACTCCTAGACTCTTAGGCATGTGAAAAATTGTAGAATATCTAAAGGCATGTCTAAGCACTTTTGATTGCTTGTCTATGGAAAGGGTAGCATAGAGATTTTTTTGTGTGATCAAAGAATATGTGTGACAGAAAACTGATCTATGGTTACAAATATCAAACAGTTTGATCTTTCTAAAACACTTCACTGAAGTTTTTCCATTCTTTAATCAAACAAGAAACACCAGTGTATTATGAACATGTATATAACATCTAGAATAGAGATGTGACTAAAAAAAGAAGTACTAAACATGTCTTGTGAGTAGTTTCTTCTCAGCGTGCACATGACTCCTATTAGCATCATGTTTATGCATTGAGAGGATATTGTGCCCTTTAATATTTTACCTTAGCATGGATTAGAAGGGATATATTTGATTATACTGATAATAGGACATTTGTTATAGGTTACCAGCATAAGTCACATTCACATCCTTTGCTTTTAACAAATTAACATTATGGAGGTTAAACCAACTATTTTGATTTTCCTTTAAGATGAAATGCATAGCAGTAAAATCAATTATTTGCCCATAGCAAAACTTTATATAAAGTGTGTCCATGTTGGTCACTCTGGTATGATAATTTTTGCACCCACAATGTTTAAAATGGTATCTTGAATTCACACATACAACTATGGATGCAAAGCGCCAAAAGTTGACAGTAAGAACATAAGTCTATAATATTGCTTTAATTTAACATATTAATGAAGTATACCATTGTAATATAGATAAAATATTACAAAAGTCACTTTTAATTCTTATCAGCTGTACTAAGTTGCATATAAGTGTTTTATACTTGGCACACATCTTTACACAATGATTTTCAGAGAATTGCAATTTCCATTTTCTCAGGAGTTTGATGCCAAATTCCACGGAAAATTCAGACAGACATTTTCCTACCACTCAGGTATCACACTTTTCCTCAACCAGCTGCTAGCTGCAAGATTATTTGTGGCATTTTGCTTTCATTGAATTTCACTGGTGTTTAATAAATGTCTTTTTATCCCTTTTCATGGCTTATTATATTAATTAATTTAAAAAACTGTGCATAGTGGCTTTTTTGAAAAAAAGTTTTCTTATGAGTTTTCGATTTTCTTTTTCCTTTAACATAATGACTTTTTTTCCTTGTAAAATCAGATCATACAAAGAATGGCAGATTAATTTATTTCCCTCTGCATTTCTTCACAGTGTTAGAGAGGTTTTCTTTTTAGCGTGACTATGGTTTTTGTAGCTTCTTGAATTTGCAATGGCAACTATTTGCATTGTTTTGCTTATTAAATGGCATCTTATTTGTCTGTGCTAATTGCTGGTAAGAGGAAAGAGTACTAAACTTTTTCCCCTTCTGCAAAGAATTTTTGATATTTCCTCAGTCACGCAAGTTCCAAGCCCTGCTCTCCCTACTCATGTAAACAGTCACCTACTTCAATGGGGATGCTCATGTGAGTAAGACTAACATGTAACAATGAGAATCTTTTCCACTGTAAATTAGGGAATTGTTTTATCAAAGTTATAATGTTGAATGAATATATGCAGCAAATATGGTCATACAGTTGAATTTAACAGCCCAACAAAATGATTGTAAAAAAAAATTAGGGCATCTTGTTAATGAAGAAAGATATTTCACAATAGGTTGGTTTTAAGCATAAATATTTTCTGTGCAACTTGGCCTATTATCTAAGGTGTACAAAACAGTTATTTTACACCAGGTTTACAGGCAATTGTGACAACAGCCAGCAAGGTGAAGAAAGCTACTCAACTTATTTGTTTACGAAAAGCATATTCATTATTGTTTTTCTACACTGTCCTTTCGAGGTCTTTATTTTTACCTCTAAATTGCCTTTTTCTTTAACAAGCACAACAGCAAAAACAATACTGTGCATTTTGAAGGAGCTGAGGTGTTTTGAGAATTATTTGTGCTAAACTCTTCATCTACTGATTATTAAGACCAAATATAGCTCTATAACTACAGCATAAATTATTTTTTTTAATTGAAACATTATTGGAAAGTTCTATTTTTTAAATGATTTGTCTGCATAGCTGATAAAAAGAACTTTAAACTTTATAATAATGGATTTTTCCAGCCCTCTAGATCGAACTTTTTCAGCATATGTTAAAATACACACTAACATGAACAAATTCTATATACTTATTTCTATTAACTTCTATCAAATCAACTTTAGTACTTTTATTGTATGTGCTACATATTAAAGACTTTGAACCTTAAAACACATACTAATATTACAAACATTGATTCTAAGATCAATATTTCAACGCATATTCTATCACTTTTCACTATAAAAAGCACATCCAAAAAGGATGGTCCCGCCACATTTATAATTTTACGATACTAAGTGCATTCAATGATGTGCTTCTTGGTTTTAAAAATGATTACATAAAATAAAATCACATTGAAAACATGACCAACAAATAGCATAATGTATGAATTTTCGTAATAAATAAACTAAATGTCATTTATCAAGGCATTTTTTCCTAGTTTCAAAGTTCTAAGAGGCATTACATTTTTGAGAGGAATATATTTGGCATAGGAATGCCAATGTATTTAAATGCATTTTTTCTAACAAGCATCTATAGCATGACAGCAGTTTTAAAGTTTTAAGCAGAACTCCCCGCTGATGTCTATGAAGAGTTCTGTTCACAAATTGATGGATGCATGTTAATTCTAGCTTGTAACATGAACTATGAGCAATAAACAATTAAACTTAAAAAAAAGGTCGTTCCCCCCCCCACACACACCCCTCTGTTTTATTGCAAGAGGTTATTTTCATTCCTTGCTTTGGGATGGCAAAACAAATACACAGAGTAAAAATGTGCTGACCGTGTAACACTAGGAGAAAAACACACTTCATTAGATGTGGAATGCTGAAATTATGCTACGTTCAAATGTGCAAAAGAATTAAAAACAGATGTTAAAATCTTTCTTTCAAAAGAACCATTTTAAAAATAGTTATGTAGTGCTGTTGCTTATTCAGCTAACACTTCTCCTCCAAAGTGGTTTGTTGCACCCAAAGCAGTACACTAGGTTTCGGGGTGGGGGGAGGGAGAAAAAAATGCTGTAGAGAGAGCACATGTTACATCAGACACAGTACCTGATTTTTCACTGCACAGCTTGTCAGCTAGATAGTCTGCCTCTTGGGCGATAAGTGAGAAAATTTCATCTTCATACTCTTCTATAATACTTTCACACTGTAAGAATAAAACAGGAACATATATATTATATATACATACACATACACACAGAGACAGTACCACTCCAGCAAAGAAATAAACAAGATTGCTAAACCAGAACTGTAAAGTAATACAGTGGAAAGGGGAACCTTATTTTGGTTTGCACTTCCTGTTTTGTACAAACAAATGATTGCCTGTTAATTTTCAAAATATTCCTTAAGATTTAACTATATGCTCTGTCTGGTTGTCTTTTTAAAAATACACGAAGTAGGATAAGAAATCATTTACAAGTCACATTTTACTTGCTTTTGAAAGAACACCTTTCAATGTCAGTCACTATATTCATGGAATAGTCACTCAAAAGTTAAATTAAATACTAATCCATTTCATGTTAATACACTAATATTCACAATGTGCAGATAAATAAAGCTGTCTGATCAAACTAATGCATCTTTGGTTTCACTACAGATAACAAAATTGACAGTAATCTACCAAATGGTCTCTTTTCAATGTTTTAAACATTTTAAAGACTATCAGTAATTTGACTTAACTTATAGAAAATGGATTTCTGATGTTCTGAACAGGGTTCAACACTACTGCTGAGGCAGAGTCTTGGTGGAGTGTGTCTAAAGAGACATTTTGTTCTGAAGAGCTGTATTATCTACAGTTATCTTTTGGCAATCCTGAGCACATATTACGAAGGACAGAAAGTACTTTCCCAAAAGCCCAGACTATGGTTTAATCATTAAACAAGGGTAGAAGCCCCATGAAATGGATTGCAATTAAAAAAAAATACACTAAGGAAAACTCTGATTTAAATAAAGAAGTCATAACTCTACTACAAAAAAAATCTCTTGTATTTCTCGAAAAATTAGCTCTAGAATGTGCCATTGCAAGAATAAGATTTTTTACCTGTTTTAAGTCAACATTTCACAGCACTCAACATCTTTGAAACTCAGCCATTACCTTTACTTCTCAGTGAAAATGCAAGTCACTAAATGTGCACGCTGGCTTAATTTCATGGATTTAATAGTCTCACAACATTGCGTTTGTGGTGAACTGAATACATGTGGAATCATATGCAGCAAATCACTGCCCTAGACACTCTTTTCTATATTGTGTGTTTCCTGACACTAGAAAGATACTTAATGCATAAACAAAACAAAATTATATGATGAAACTGGCACCTAAACATTTGTTTAACTCAGCCTAAGCCAGCATTCTTGAATTAGCTCACAGAAATTTGTCTCCATTCAACAAGGCCTAAAGAAAAGATGACACCCCTCCTCCTTCTTTAATCCAACTATAAATATTAAAATTACAGTAGTATTAATTTGGATTTTTACCCAACACCATAACTCCCTATTTCCTGCACAGAAATTAACAAATATACTTCCTTAGTAACACTGATTTGTATTTAATCACTTACAAAAATTCCCCAAGTAAAACATAATTTGAATTGTTCCAGTTTGGGAAATTTGTAACATGTAAACTGAGAACACACAGTATAATCCATGGGTAGTTCTTGCAAGTAAAATGCCATCTGTTTCTAAATAACATTATAAACCACATTATTATTTTAAAACACTTAACGCGATACTGTGACAAGCAAATACAGAGCATATTAGAATATGTTATTATTAAAACAATTTACTATATGCACGAATTTAGTACTTGAAGCTATATTTATCATACAGTAAAGAGTATACACTAGTAATACTTTAACATACAATGTTACCAATTTGTTATGTTAGCTTACCGCAAATTTCAAAGGTTTGTAAGCATCAGAATAAAAATAGAATTTTTTAAAATCTGCATAGATTTTCTCATCTTTCCTAGGAGCAAATCTCTTGAATGTCCTTTTTTGGGTTTGAGGATCCACTTGCAGTTGGTAATCATTCATTCTATCACATATATTTTCCAATACTTCCGTTAAGTAGGTCTCTGACTTTGCTAAAGGAACCTAGTGGGGGAGGAAAATGGAATTTTCTTTTCTTATTATACATATTACCAAAAATAACTTTAAGAGATTGTACCTCTATAGACCGATGTGTCATAGACAGAGAAAAAGAATCAGTGCATATCTCTTAATCTGCATAATTGTTGACCCATATTATATTACATACATAATTAAAAATGTCAGCTAAATCTAAGGTGACACTGAAAAATAAAACATTTACTCTTGCATAAAACATCCCCTTTATACTGAACCAATTCTAGAATGCAGTTATCAGATTTTAATTTGTAAACATATTGTCATTCAAAAAGACATATACCATGCAGCAAATAAATAGAGACCATAGACTACAGTTGATATTTTATCGACATAACCATGAAAGATTTCCTAAGTCACTTTGTTTCTTTAGTTGAAGTAGAGTTCTAGAAAGTCTTTTGCTTTCACTTGGTCTGTCTTAGTTGCTGTTCGTCAACTCAGATGCAGCTGTTTAATACCTCCCAGGGGTTTTGTGAAGAAAATAATAGCTTACAAAATTTAACTTCTCCCAGGTTCTACTATTTCAGCTTTATTTTCGAACAGCTGGTCCATGTCTTTGTCCATTCCCTTTCCTTCAGAATTAAGCAAGAATTCAGCAGAAACATTTAGACACTACCTACACACTTAGTGAGAGTCTCAACAGCTAGTGCTCCCAGGGTCAAAGAGCACCCCTCGCCCTTGGTAACGGGGACAAAAAACTTCTCTCCCGTCTAGACAGGTCAAGGTGCAAGATGCTCCTATCTCTGTTGCTTCTTCCGGAAGGGGGCGTGAACTGAAGCCAAGTGCACAGTAAACAACAGTGCTGCATCCTTGGACCTTTAGAAGATTTTTCTCTCCACCCTCTGCTGATCAAAGTAGGAAGTTTTCATGACAACCATAGTCAAAGGGGCTGAATCACAAATGAACTCGATTTCTGCAATGTTGATATATCCAGTCTCTATTGTCTCTTTTCAGACACAGTATGAACCCTTCCGGTCTCAATGATTACATTACAGAAGCACTTTCACATGTGTGCTTCATTTACACAAAGGGTTTCCCTGCTTCACCACCATCTGGCCACAGATCAGATAAATAGAGGCAGGAGAATTAAAATTAAAGCCTAAAGGTTTTTCTTCTTCTTAAACTAGGTCCTATTATGAAATCCTCCTCCCCCAACCTCATTCTGGATGTGGAATCTACTTTTTTATGAAACCTGGAAAAAGCAAAAAGGGCATGAGGCAAACACTGTATTTTTTTTTAAAAAGTCAGTTTTTAGTTTAAAATAATCTACATTTAGAGAGATGTGTATCCTATTTTACAGTAAGGTTGGGTTTAGTTCATTTTGCTATGAAAACTATTTTATTAATTTCAATATTAACATTTAAAAAGCAAATGTGTATCATAAAGCAAGGGAAGCTAATGGCAGCACAACATGGTTCCTGAAAGACTATTTGAATTATGGATTCCAATCTCAAGTGGTTTTTTCCCACCCATTAGAAGTTGAGGATAACAAGACAACATGGCACATTGATATGTCTGACTGCTTCTTCCAAATATTTAATATGCAAAAAAGAAAAACTGAATTTGCAAATAAAATAGAACTTTTACAAATCCTCTTGCAAAAGACAAAAGATTTGACATAATAGACCAAATGCTCTTCCGGTGTAACTTCCACTAAGGTCAATGAGGTTATACCAAAGATGTATCTGACCCAATGTGCTTTCAGTAGCAATAAGCTATTACTATACTACACACACACACCTCTAAACCTACTTTCAGGACAATAAATCAAAACCAGCTCACTAGCAGGGGGGATTTTTAATGGATATACTAACTATACTGATTTGCAGATAAAAAGAGATCTACCGTGTTGTCCTAATACAAGCAAGACTGTATTTTAAGTTCTGAAAAAGAGATCTATTTATAGTCCAACTGTTGTTCAAGAATTCACTCACATACTTACACTCTTCCCCATCCCCTTCCTGTCAGTAACTCCCGATCCAATCACAAAAGCTAACAGTGGCTTAGCAAGAGTATACATCATGGGTGGCAAGTACTGTATAAGAACATAGAGAATGAGACTACTACTATATGCTGAAAACAAACCACCTATGCATTAAAAAATGCTTCTGTAACATTCTGAATGAAAATCAAACTTCACAATGCATGTAACAGCAGCTACAGATCAAATTCCCTAGATACTTTGTGTACAGGGGTTAACACTTATTAAAGGAATTTTGCAACCTGTTTATTCTTATATTTATATGCCATTTTTTGCTCTCATTTCCACCACCTATTATATTTCCCATAATGTTCTCAGAAGCCAACATATGAACTGCATTTTCTTAACTTCTCTTTGTATTTCAGTATGTTGTCTTATTATATTTAGGAAAATCATTTTAGGAGTAGCATATTCGTGAAGTAGATTAATAAAATCATAATTACAAGAACTTTGCTTTAAAATGGTTACATTCAATTTTTTCTTGTCAAGTTAATAAAAAATTATACTTAACATGTGACCTCTGAATAACTTAATTTTTTCACATAACTATTAGTTTGTCTGGAATCAGACTCTCAGTCCCTGTAAACTATATTGAATGGGGTATGCATATATATGGTAAACCCTTACGCATGATAGATGTATGTATCTGTTCATTTCTGGTGTCTACTTATTAGCTGTTGGATAATGAGCTTTTATTAAAACCAAGTACAACTTGAATTTAAAAGAATATAAAAGATTTTGTTGAAATATACTCAGAGTTATACCTGACCCCCAAAAGTTGAGTGTTCTTTTAAAAAGTGTTTTAATAATAAGAGCAATAAGTATTTGGACAAGTGGCAGAAAACTAAAGCCTTTCTTTCTATACTGTGAAGATTTTGAATAGTACTTGTCAATAAAGCAACTCCTATTGTAATTGTACCGGAGACATGGGCCTCCTCCCCGAAAAAGCTGTCTCAGAGATACTAACCTCATTAAAATATGAATGAAAAGACAGCCATCATTGTAATGGGACAAAGCCATTTTACCCTGCACCAAACTTTATCTGCTATTTTTTGTAAAAATATAAATATGATACCCAGCAAATTAGTCACTACATTTGATGTGCATATTGATGATAGAATGCATGAACTATTTTAATTTTTCAGATAAATCACAGCCTCTGATCATTCTAAATGTTTGATTTTTTTTGTTAATCATTTAATAATCTGTTGATTCTTCATATGATTTGAAGTGTTTAAAAAGAAAAAAAGATACCCTTTAGTTTTTTAAAAAAGTTCACTGAAATTTTTGCTGTTTATTTTTGTTTTCCAGAATATTTCAGCCAATTTCAAAAGACAGCTAGAGAATTAATTACAGATTACTATGGCAATACCTTAATAACAGTCAGTTACAGGATGTTCATATGCCAGTTCATTACTATGTCTGTTAAGCTCATCGTAAATTTCTTTGCTTGATAGATACCACAATTGCGTTATGTTGTGTGATAAGAGATATAAAAATGTAACTGCAGTATATATGCATTTTCAAAAACAATCAAGTGTTTTTTCAATAAAACGGTACATATTTGGTTATATTTAAAAAAAATAGAGAGAGAGCCAGAACTGATCATATGCAAAGCTTTATATTTTATTGGAAATTGTTTCAAATAATTTTTAAACACGTATTTTAAAATGTTTCACGTAGTTTAATCACTATCTTTTCATCCACAAAGTGTTCAAATCATTTTTGATATTAGTTAAAAGTCAATATTTAGAAGTGAAAATTCAAACCTCCTTTGCTCTAGGCTAAAACAGGAGAAACATGAATGCTGAGCTACTCTAAAGGCTGATGGGATATATAATTAGCTATTATGTTAATTGAATCCACTGTGAGTTTGTTGTATGAGATTTCTTCATATAATATGCAAATAGCTTCTAAGGTTTAGTTTTATTAGACAATACAATTAGAAATCATCTAAAGGAGTGAATTCTAATGAGGCATAATAAAGGTTTGTAAAAATATCTGTTTGCTGCATGAGCAGACCATCTGGGCTTAATCAATAAAAGAAACTGTATTGTGTAACAGAACATTTAAAAGAAACTTTTAAGAATTTACCTTTCCAGTATCCATTCATAACAAATTCAACTTTAAAAGCAGGAGAGTTCATGTTATTAAGGAAAGAGGTGAAATTCTTGTAATATGGGAGGAAGTCACTCTGTTAATCAGACAATTGGAATATTGTTTACTTAAAAATAAAAAGCAGCTCTCAGCTGTGATGTTAATTGTGTTTGAATAGATACACTTTAAGTGAGGTGTTCCATGAGCAAAGTTAGCCATTATTATTACTATTAAAGACGTGATCCAAGCAGATGTACATACATTAGCTTTTGTAGTGTAACTAATCAGCGTAACTTCACTTTCAGTAAAATTCTCCAGCATTTTAATATCTGGAATTAAGAACTTTCTGAAAAAGGAAGAAATTCACACTATGGTATTCCACAGCAAGTCACAAACTCAACAGTTGCATTCCTTTTCATTTAAGGCCAGCTCCAAATATTAAACTGGTTTAGTTAATGCCAGAATTCAAAATATGTGTAATCTCTGGTCTAATGCAGGCTATTCAAACTTTAACTAGTGCCAGAAAAAATTATTGCTCAACTCCTAACCATAACTGAACATCATAATAATAGTAATATACTTCACTCTCCTATGGTATCCAAAGAGTAGTATGGGTTTGGGTTCTTTTTAAACATTTAAAAATGGTCACTAGCAACCCACTAAGAAAAAGCAGAAGCAAACTGGCAGCTGAAGCTACACCCATACAAAAAGAAATATTATCCCAATGAGTTCACTGCCACTTTAATTCACGGATAGAAGTGAAAGAGGACTTCAAAATATGATTAAAGTACTCATTCATCATCTGGACTCTGTTTCTTCTGGAATAGGCTTAGTTTTAGTGGTCTGTGTCGGAAAGCCTATGTTCCTAAAGGGAAAAAGGTCTGAAAAAAAAAAAAAAAAAAAAAAAGGGGTAACTTTTTTTAAAAAAGGCAACATTGTGCAGATGGCATGATAAACCCATCATACCCACTTATATAGCTGATATAAACATAAGCCTATAATTGCTGTTAATTAACGCTTGTTTAATCTAGTCACTTAAAAACCTGCAGGGCAAGTGTTTGTTATTCTGAATAATATGAAGCCCTCATCACTATAGAAAAAGGATCACCTCATACACACCTCTTCTTCAGCTGAAATACAGTTTGCTCGAATACCCATTTTCCTAAGTTTTGCTCTAAACCATTAACCGGTTGCTTACCATCTCTAATGGGCATCCAAACACTGCCCAATGCGCCTGAAGTAACAACCAGGCAATCCAAACAAACCGTCCTA